CTTTTTTCCTCCCGCTCTCCTGTTCCCTACGTCTGTCTCTATCTCGCCTCCACTGTATGCACCTCTTCTTCCCTGCCCTCCCTCCTGAGCCTGTATCAATAGGAGTGACAGTGAAAAAAGCAAAATAAAGATGATTTTTTTCCCTTCATCAACAAAAACACACTTCCACAGGAACAGAGGGGGGTTTTAACATGACACACACTTTTACACAAACCGGGCTGCCTACAGAACGCTTTCTGGGGCCTAGGCTCTAGGGGGGCCCAGGGAGGCCAGCAATAATCCTAAATATAAGCAATGATAACCAAATTTTATTTTGAACCAAAATACTAAAAACAACAAAAATAAACATGTTATTTATTGTCACTTTAGTAAAATGAAAATCCCCTCTCCTGAAAATGGTGAGTCTTTTCTTTTTGTACACAACATCAAAAGTGCACTGTGGGCAGCAGGGCATATGACTTGAAAAGTTAACTGTTTTAAACTACTAGCTGATGCAAAAAGTAGCAAAGGGCTGGTAAGGGCTAATAACAATGCAATGACCAACTTTGTTCAGCTCCCAGCCAGGCAGAAGAGATAAACAGGCTAATGTTAAGAGGTAGCTAGGTCAGTGAAGGAGGCACAACCACCTGAGTGTGCCCATGTATGGCACCCCCCACTAAGTCTGCCAGTTTACATGTATGTGTTTATATAGAAGTATGTTTATGTGATCCAGCAATTTCTGTCGGGGGTAAAAAACAATATTTTGCCGTAATTCTGTGCAAACTTTCAAATTTGTAGTTTCCTGCGGGTTTCACCAATCATATCAGTCCCCTGCACAAAATGTGGACCCATACATCACAAAATTACTAGCAATTTAATTTTCACTGGAAGAAGTTGCTTTTTAATTTTAATGAATTATACAAAAAATCTTTCAGGCATGAAATCAGGCATTTAAGGCCACAACAGCACGTTGACCCATTCAGATATTAGCCTACATACATCACTTTGTCAGAATACAGCAAGAGTGAATCAACAATCAACTTGTTCAATGCTCTGACAAACACACATTCACAGAGACAAAAATCAGGAAGCAGCTTCTTTGATGATGTAAATAAGCCATTGCTCCAAAATAATGTTGTGGTAGGAGAGATTACTTACCTGCTTCATGCACAGTATGGATAACCAGCTTACTACAGCCTTACTGACCAGCCAGCTCCTCTGACGCCAGTCACTGTGCTGATATAAAGTGTAACTGCTCTGGCTGATAAACATAATTACATATGTTCATTACATGTCCTCACTAAAGCATCTAAAGGTATATGAGAATAGCTCAGAGTGGGACATCAGCCTGAGGGAGCACAACAATTATATCACACCACTCTCACACAAACACACTTGATGTTCGTGGCTTCATGCATTTTGACTTTTGTAATCCCTGCACAGGTAATGTGTCCCGACACTGGCTGACAGGTCATTGGCAGCTCTCCCATGTTTCTGCCTTTGTAGTCAGCTGCAGCTCTTCTACCTGTACAAGCTGTATTTTTATCACCTGGAACAAAATAATTGACGTAGCATCTTAACTGGATCACTGTGTTCTTCCAGCATAGGATTCTCCCTCAGGTGCAAATAGCTGCTAGATGACTTGATCACATGATCTTTTTTAGGTCACACATTCAGGTACATTTCCTAACACAGTGGTATGCCCATAAAGTTTACCACAGTCAATGAGGTGTGTATTATGAATTTGTTCCTCTGTTTGATGTGAAACCATTAGGCCTGCTGTTCACTGATGGCTATTTGGTGATCACATACGTTGTGCTGTTTATTGTCACACGATCAGAATCCTAAACACAAATACATCTTAAAAAATCTAAATAGTCTGAAAGTATTAATGACAATTGCAGTAATTCTTCTTGCAACCTTTGCCATATGTTTTCATCTCAGCCATATCTTAACATATTCAGGCTGCTTTATGAAACTTTGTCATAACATTGTTTTTTTGTTTTTTTTAAAAACCTGCCAAATCAGTTCACTACAAACACAAAGAAATTCAGTCCTTTTCAGCCAAATCTTTTACTAACATGACAACCTTTTGTTAACTTCTTTTAGTAATTTACAAACTTTGCTTATACAGTAAAACATAAAATGAATTCACAGCAGCCATTTTGCCATGAAATAGTAGGTAAATGGACCTATACAGCGCCTTTCTAGTCTTCCGACCACTCAAAGCGCATTTACACTACATGACACATTTACCCTTTCACACACATTCACGGCAATCAAACAGAAACTAACTCATTCATACACCGATGCATGGCATTGGCAGCAATTCAGGGTTCAGTATGTTGCTCAAGGATACTTTGACATGAGGTTGGAGGGGGATTGAACCACTAACCTTCTAATTAGGGGACGACCTGCTCTGCCTCTGCGCCACAGCCGCACAAGTAATCAGTAACAGTAATCACAGGTGTTACCAATGATACTAATTAAGCCTCTGTTCCATCAAGACTATGTTCATGCTTATGCCTTAGTGCCCAATCTTGATTTATTGCTCAGACCTAATTTGTTTTGTTTAGCTGTTCACATTTCTTTTTTTAAATGTGGCCCATATCAGAATCCTAATCTGGGCAGCTGTGGCTCAGAGGCAGAGCAGGTCGTCCACCAATAGGAAGGTTGTCGGTTCGATCCCCGGCTCCTCCCACCACAGCTCGAAGTATCCTTGCTCACAAAGTATCCGTAAGAAAGATACTGAACCCCAAATGTCTCCCGATGCTGTGCATCGGTGTATGAATGCGTTAGTGTCTGTTGGATGGGCTTTGCCCATCACCGAGTGAATGCGTGTGAAAGGGCAAATGTGGCATGTGTTGTAAAAGCGCTTTAAGTGGTTGGAAGACTAGAAAGGCGCTATACAAGTACAGGTCCATTTACCATAACAATGAAAATTAATGGAGTGATTCCAAATAATGTTGCCTAAGGGAAGCATATATAAGATGAATAGAACTGGCCAAAGCACAGAACCTTGTGGAACTCCATGACTAACTTTAGAGTTTATGGAGGATTCATCGTTAACATGTGCAAACTGATAACGATCTGATAGATAGAACTTACTTAGCTTAGTGTGGTTCCCTTAATGCCAATTAGATGCTCAAGTCTCTGTAATAGAATATGATGGTCAAGGGTGTCAAATGCAGCACTACGATCTAACAATACAAGTACAGGACAAGTCCATTGTTGGAAACAATTAAAAGATCGTTATTAACTCTAACCAGTGCTGTCTCTGTGCTATGATGAACTCTAAATCCTGACTGAAAATCCTCATAGCGTGGGCTTTTTAAAACTGGGTTTATTACAGCTACTTTAAAAGGACTGTGCTACATAACCTGACAATAAAGAAAGATTGATCATATGCCAGCCACAAGTGCCAGCTAAGAATAAGAGTTATTTAAGCAGCCATTTAAGCAATTATTGAAGTTAATTGATGCAGATTGATTGCAGAAAAACAATCTAAGAGTAAATCTGATTTTACATTTGTTAAAATTCAGAGACAGTGATACCTGTTGAGGGCAGTTGGTGCTTAATTTTTGTCTCTAATTGTAATAATTCTATAATAAAAGAAGCTCATAAAGTTGTTACTACTGAGGGTTATTGGGATACAAGGCTCAATAGAGCTGTGACTGTCAGCCTGGCTTCATTGCTGAAGAGGAACCGGGGGTTGTTCTTGTTTCTTCTATTAGTGTTAAATAACAGGCTGCTCTGGCATTACAGAGGGCCTTTCTATATATTTTAAGACTGTCTTGCCAAATTGATGAATGTGATTCTAATAGTTTGGAATAGCACCATTTCCTTTCAGATTTACGCGCTTTTTGTTTTAATTGGTGGATTTGGTGATTTGGAGTCCTCTGTTATATTCAGACATGGTATTGAATTAAACACTGATGAATCTCCTCCTTAAATTTAGCTACAGCACTGTCAGATAGACATCCGCTGTAGGAAGTTTTGCCTAATGGCTTGTAATCTAGTAATAGGAATTCAAAAGTTATTAAATAATAGTCAGATAAAAAAGATTATGTAGGAAGACTATTAAATGTACAATATCAAGCCATATGATAGAACGAGGTCAAAAGTGTGATTAAAACAATTGGTGGATTTATTTACACTCTGACAGCTAATTAAATCTAATAATGAGATTAACGCATTACTAAGACTGCCATTTTCCGTAACCAAATGAATATTAAAATCACCTACAATAATTGCTTTACCTGTTACCTGAGGACTAAACTCAGAGAAGAAAGAAAGAAGAGAAAGACTAAGAACAAGGCTTTCAAATGAATTATAATTTAGTTTAGGTTTAGGATCAAGTAAAAGGCTTGAATTATATATGGCTGGTACTCCACCTTCTCGGCCGGTGCCTTGAGGAATGTGAGTATTAATATGTATTAATATTTCAGCAATGTGAGCTACAGTAACTAGTCTGCTGAGCATGTAGGGAGCTATGGCTGGCCTGTGTGGTCTGATGCATGACTCTGTCGCATGACTCTGTCGCCGCTCCACCACTTTTCCTCCATTGGACCACTTTTGATAGGTACTGACCACTGCAGTCCAGAAACACCCCACAGGAGCTGCAGTTTCGGAGATGCTCTGACCCGGTCATCCAGCCATCAATTCAATTTCAATTCAATTCAATTTTATTTGTATAGCGCCAATTCATAACAGAAGTTATCTCAGGACACTTTTCAAATAGAATAGGTCTAGACCGAATTCTTTAAAACATTATTTACAGGGACCCAACAGTACCACCATGAGCAAGCACTTGGCGACAAGGGCAAGGAAAAACTGCCTGTTAAAAGGCAGAAACCTAGGACAGATCATTCGGCTCTAGGTGGGTGGTCGTCTGCCTCGACCAGTTGGGGTGAGAGAGAGAGAGAGAGAGAAAGAGAGAGAGAGAGACAGACAGACAGACACACAGCAACAACAGTATTGGCAATGGCAATCTAGCAGGACCATGGCAGGAGGCTAAGAACCTGCGAGACGGGAAAGCACAAGAACTCCGGGGAAGAAGTGAAGGTAGTAAAATGCATTAATGGAACATGAATGAGTGCAGAAAGAGAGAGGAAGAGAGGAGCTCAGTGCACCATGGGAAATCCCCCGATAGTCTAGGCCTATAGCAGCATAACTGAGGGATGGTTCAGGACTCACCTGATCCAGCCCTAACTATAAGCTTTATCAAAGAGGAATGTCTTAAGCCTACTCTTGAATGTGGAGAGGGTGTCTGCCTCCCGAACCACAACTGGAAGCTGGTTCCACAGGAGAGGAGCTTGGTAACTGAAGGCTCTGGCTCCTGTTCTACTTTTAGAGACTATAGGAACCACAAGTAGCCCAGCATTCAGAGAACGTAGTGTTCTAGTGGGGTAATAGGGTACTATGAGCTCTTTAAGATATGAAGGGGCCTGACCATGAAGAGCTTTATAGGTGAGGAGGAGGATTTTAAATTCTATTCTACATTTTACAGGGAGCCAGTGCAGAGAAGCTAGTACAGGAGAGATGTGATCTCTTTTTCTAGTTCCTGTCAGTACTCGTGCTGCAGCGTTCTGAATTAATTGGAGCGTTTTAATGGACTTATTGGGACAACCTGATAATAAAGAGTTGCAGTAATCCAGCCTTGAAGTAACAAATGCATGGTTTAGTTTTTCTGTATCTGTCTGTGATAGTATGTGTCTAATTTTTGTAATATTACGTAAATTAAAGAAGGCAGTCCTAGAGGTCTGCTTCATGTGGGAGTTAAAAGACAAATCTTGATCAAAGATAACTCCAAGATTCCTGACAGTGGTGCTAGAGGCCAAGGTAATGCCATCTAGAGTAACTATATCTTTAGACAGTGAGTCTCTAAGGTTTTTGGGGCCAAGAACAAGAATTTCGTTTTTTTCTGAGTTTAACATCAGAAAATTGCAGCTCATCCAGGATTTTATGTCCTTAAAACATGTTTGTAATTTAGATAATTGGTTAATTTCATCGGGCTTGATCGATAGATATAACTGCGTATCATCTGCATAACAGTGAAAGTTAATGGAGTGATCCTAATAATGTTGCCTAAAGGGAGCATATGTAAAGTAAATAGTATTGGTCCAAGTACAGAACCTTGTGGAACTCTATGACTAACTGTAGTATTTATTGAAGATTCATCGTTAACATGTACAAACTGCGAGCGATCTGATAAATATGACTTAAACCAGCTTAGTGCGGTTCCTTTAATGCCAATTTGAGTCTCTGTAAAAGAATATTATGGTCAATGGTGTCAAATGCAGCACTGAGATCTAATAATACAAGTATAGAGACAAGTCCATTGTCAAAAGCAATCAAAAGGTCATTATTAACTTTAACCAGAGCTGTCTCTGTGCTATGATGAACTCTAAATCCTGACTGAAAATCCTCAAATAAACTATGGTTATGTAGAAAGTCACACAACTCTTTGACGACAACCTTCTCCAGAATCTTAGAGAGGAAGGGGAGGTTAGAGATTAGTCTATAGTTGGCTAAAACCCCTGGGTCAAGAGTGGGCTTTTTAAGAAGGGGTTTAATTACAGCTACTTTAAAGGACTGTGGTACATGTCCTTATAATAAAGAAAGATTAATCATATCCAGTAAAGAAGTGCCAATTAAGGGAACAACTTCTTTAAGCAGCCTAGTTGGGATCGGGTCTAATAGACAGGTTGATGACTTCGATGAAGAAATGATTGAAGTTCACTGATGGAGATCGATAGCAGAAAAACAGTCTAAATATATATCTAAGTTTATATTAGCAAAAGTCCCTGAACTAGGAGAGCCACTGATAACTGTTGATGGCAGTTGGTAATTAATTTTCTCTCTAATAGTAATAATTTTATTATAGAAGAAGCTCATGAAGTCATTGCTACTTAAGGTTATGGGGATATGTGGCTCAATAGAGCTGTGGCTCTCCGTCAGCCTGGCTACAGTGCTGAAGAGGAACCTAGGGTTATTCTTATTTTCTTCTATTAGTGCTAAGTAATAGGCTCCTCTGGCATTGTTATGAATTGGCGCTATACAAATAAATTGAATTGAATTGTTACTGTGGTCATGGGGGATACGGGCTGTGGAGGAAAAGGGTGGGGTAGCCAGGGTTTGAGTTGAGGAGGGCGGGGTAGCCAAGGTGTGAATGGGGTACCTGAGGTGGAGGGGGTTTGTGAGTCAAACCTATTGAAGAACAGGTTTAGCTTGTTGGCACGTCCCTTTGTCCCCCTCCACTGAACCTACTGACCCCCCCCACACCTCTCTTGTGCTGGTCTGCTGCAGCCTCGCTTCTATCCTGTTCTTGTAACAGTTCAACTCCCTCCTATGCTCCCTTGGAATGTCTTTCTTGGCATCTTCATCTCCTGCCATGAAAGCCATCTTCTTTCTGTTCAACAGGGCTTTGATGTCTCTGTTGATCCATGGCTTGTTGTTTGGGAAATAGCGAATCCTGTTGGTGGAGATAACGCTGTCCTCACAGAACCTGATGTAGTCTGT